GGGGGGGACACACGGGACGAAGGAGGCCTCCCTTACCGGAACCGGGGCCGCCAAACCCGCCGACCGAGCCCCGCCGTCCTCGGGCTCGTCCGGGAAGGGAGCGCGAGGCGCCCGCAGCAGCTGCGCCCAAGTCCGGGCCCGCCCTGCGCAAGGCGCACGTGGCTGGTGACGACGACACGTGACCGGGTGGGCGTGGCTGGGCGGCCCTGGGAGAGGGTGGGCGTGGCCAGCTCAACGTCACACGCCTCCCGGGGGGGTGTCTCGCCTGGCCCCGCCCCTCCCAGCCGTCCTTCTCCCGCCCAGCCTCGACGTCACTCTCGCTCTGTAAAAATCTGATAGGGCGCCCTCCGGTGGCTCTTTTGGGCGTAGCAGGCTGAAAAGGGACTATTAAGACCATTCATAGTGCTGGGGAAGCAAGTGGCGCCCTCCGGTGGCTCTTTTGGGCGTAGCAGGCTGAAAGGGACGATTAAGACCATTCATTGTGCTGGGGAAGCAAGTGGCGCCCTCCGGTGGCTCTTTTGGGTGTAGCAGGCTGAAAAGGGACTATTAAGACCATTCATTGTGCTGGGATGACTCGGTCATAACATCCTGTGATTGTATAGTCTATTCATCCGGCTGTGAAATTCCGGTATTTTTACTTTGGGAGGGAAATGGGGGCACCGAGGAAGATTCACCTCTGACTCCACAATTTTATATCTGAAAACCAAAACAAAACCAAAAAAACAACCACATATTTTTACCATTTTACTATTCAACGCCGGGGAGAATGGAGCGCCCTTTTTAAAAGCCTCAAAGTTTTGCAAACTTTTGCAAAAGTGTTTTGGTTTTTTGGGGGGGTGGGTGGGAATCGGGCTAAAGTCGGGAAGAGCCGGGTGTTTGAGCTGTTAATTTTGGTCACTAAATGAAGCGTAAAATGGAAGGAAGGAAGCTCTCTGAGCTTGGGGTTTTTCTTGCAGGCGTTTCATGACCCAACTCTGTAACATCAGTGCTAGAAGGGAGAGGAGGTGGAGAAGGAAAGGAAGGAAGGAAGGAAGGAAGGAAGGAAGGAAGGAAGGAAGGAAGGAACGGACGGACTGTGGGGTCCTTGGTGCTCTCTGAGCTGGGTGGTTTTCTTGCAGACGTTTCATGGCCCAAGTAGGGAACATCATCAGGGCTGGAAGGGAGTGGGATTTGCAGAATGGATGAGGAGGATTTTTATAATTCTAATTCTTTTATAATTCTAATTCTTTTTACATTCTGATTTATTTTTTTGATCATTGTCATTGTTTATCATTCTGAATGGATGGGGGTGTAGGGTTTATTTTCATTTCATTTAATTTAATGTATTGTTTTGTTGTAATGATTTCCCGGCCAGGAGACACTCCATTCAAATCCTCTTTTATTGCATGAATGAAGTTGCCACAAGGGTCGTTGGCAGCCACGCTCCGTTCCTTCGCCCGCTAAGTGGTGCGGGAGAAAAAAATTAAATTCCTGGTTGTAAAAACGAAACCAGCGAGGCTTTCTGGCTGTGTCATGCTTCTAGTCCTTAAGGACGAGGGGTGCCTTCGTCTGGGCGGCCACTTCCTTCCCCAGCAGCGTTTCCACGATCGCCAGGCCGAATTCGAAACTGGTGCCCGGTCCTCGGCTCGTCATGATGTGTCCATCTTTTTCCACCCGATTCTCCGAGTACTTGTAGTGATCTTACAGAGAAGAGCAAGTCCTTAGTAGTTACTCCAGGTGATAAAATGGGCACCCACTTCCCCCAACAACAACTTGACACGGCTTTCCGACGCTCGACTCCGCTCCAGATCCACTCCTGATTCAAGGCTCTCCATTCAACGGCCCCAAGAAACAGTGACTTGGGACCCATTCCTCGCACTTATGACCGGTGGGATATACGCTCGGATGCTTTCCCGTCGACTCCCATTCACGGTGGCCGTGAGGAGTGAATCCAGTTCCCCCGCAGACTTCACTCGTCAGAGGGTCACAAAAGGGGATATTGGCACTGTCATAAATGTGAGTCGGTTGCCAAGTAGCCAAATGTCATCTTGTGACCTCCAGGCACAGTGCAACTTAGTGACAGATTCGTATTTATGACGGCTGCAGTGTCCCCGGGGATCACGGGATCTTCCTTTTTACGACCTTCCGACGAGCGACGTCTAACGGGGAAACTGGATTCGCTTAATGAGCACTGCAGGTCAATTGTAACAACTGCAGGGATTCATTTAACAACGATGAAAGATTGTAAATTTTATTGGCAGCTTCTGGATGCTTAGAATTTTTATTTGCAGCTTCTGGATTTTTAGAAGTTTTATTTGCAGCTTTCGAATTCATTTAACAAACACAGGAAGAAAAGTCGTAAAACGGGATAAAACTCACTTAACATGCTTCTCACTTAGCGACCTAAGTTTCGGGCTCAATTGTGCTCATAAGTCGAGGACTACCTGTGCAATATGGGGGCCTGCCCGCCACTTCTGTGGCCCGGTTCCGAATGGCTTGAGGCCCAGGGATGGACCCCGGCCCAGGAATTGGGGGATCCCTGATCTAGATTATATTTTGGTGATAAGAAACATGGGCATCGTGGGGTTGGACTAGATGACCTACAAGGTCCCTTCCAACTCTGTTAATCTGTTAAACAGAGACAATGTTTTGTGGGATACTGACCTCCGTCCATCATCTTGTCTTTGGCCAAGGGGTGAGTGGTCACCTTGCTTCCAAAGCCGATTCCATGCGCCAGGAGAGCCGTGGGACCTGCAAGCCGACAGAGGAAAAACAAGCTATGATTCACCCAGCATTGCTGGCTCCGGTACAAAAGGGACCAGCTGTGGGCTATTCCTTTGCATCTACATACATTATACATTATTTGCTGCTTTTGGATTCTTAGAATTTTTATTCAAAGCTTCTGGACTCTATTTTATTTGCGACTTCTGGATTCTTAGAATTTTTATTTGCAGCTTCGGGATATTTAAATTTTTATTTGCAGTTTCTGAATGCTTAGAATTTTATTGGCAGCTTCTAGATGCTTAAATTTTTATTTGTGGCTTCTGAATGCCTAGAATTTTATTTGCAGTTTCTGAAAACTGCAAATTTTATTTATTTAGAATTATTTTATTTGCAGTTTCTGAATTCTTATTTTATTTTGCACTTCTAAATGCTTAGAATTTTATTGGCAGCTTCTGGATGCTAAAAATTTTTTTATTAGCAGCTTCTGGATTGTTATAATTTTTATTTGCAGCTTCTGAATTCTTAGAATTTTATTGCAGACCTGCCGAACCAGCCCTGGTCATCGCAGCCCCCTGGCCTCAGTGAAGACCCCCCCAAATCTGAGTTCCCCAACTGGACTCTCAGATTTGGTGGGGCTGGGCTGCCCATAGAGGTGTTTCCTCAAAGACGGAGCTAGAAACTTACCTGCGCAAATGGCTGCGATGAGCCCCTTCTTGGTGTCCTGATCCTTCAGGATGTCTTTCACGAGGGGAGACTGCAAGAATAGGCCAAAGAGAGGGGATCATTTACAAAACAATGTTTAGCAGAAGTCCTGGGGAGGAAAAGGGATCTTAGCAATAAAAAAGAAGGTTACTCTCTCTGTCCCACTTCAAATCTTCTGTCTCTCTTCGGTTACACAGGAAGGATTTATTCAAAATATTCCCGTCGCGTTCAACTTTCAGAAGGAGAGAAAAATGTTATTTTACCTCTGACAAGTTCTGAGCTCCCAGGTTACCTCCAGGCAGGACCACCACATCGTACGGCCCCTAAAAAAACAAGGAGGAGAAAAAAAGGTCACCGAATTCCCCTTTTAAGCTGCGTGGACTTCAACTCCCAGAATTCCCCAGCCTGCCATTTTAAAGCTGTGTGGACTTCAACTGCCAGAATTCAGTAACCACTTTTATAAACTCTGTGGACTTCAACTCCCAGAATTCCCCAGCCTGCCATTTTAAAGCTGTGTACTTTCCACTCCCAGAATTCCCCAGCAACTTTTTAAAACTATGTGGACTTCAACTCCCAGAATTCCCCAGCCAGCCACTTTTTATCAGCTGTGAGAACAACTCCCAGAATCCACCAGAGAGCTTAAGATGGCCGGCAGGGGAATTCTGGGAGTTGAAGTCCACCCAGCTTAAGGTTAAGGCCACGGTTGAGAAACACGGCTCTAAATGCAAAGGGGGGGATGTCCCAAAGACCCCACCCTCCCCAAACTGTGCTTTTTAAAAAAGAGGGGGTGGGCCCACAAACCTTTTTTCGGGCTTCTTCCAAACTTGTATCGGGACAAATCACCACATCACGGCTGCACTGCACTGGCTCCTTTCCGGACAGGCCCGCTACCGTCACAGAAATCTGGTAAATAAAACCATAATTTTTTTTGGGGGGGGAAGAGCAGAATTAAGAAGGTTTCTCAGCCTTGCCTGCTTTACGACAGGTAGGCCACTAAATGTAGTGTTGTAAATCAAGGACAACCGACCGCTGTGTTCATTCAATGACCAAAGTTCAAAGGTTACAACAGCGCTGAAAAAAATAGGGACCGTTTTTCCCACACTTAGGACTGTTGCATCATTCCTGCTTGGCAACGGATTTGTATTTACGACGGTCGCACCGTCCCGGGGTCCCCTTTTTGCGACCGCCTGGCCAGTTCAACGGGGAAGGCGGATTCACTTAAAAGAACCGCCTTGCTAACTTATCGATTAAAGGTCAGCAATTCGCTTAAAGGTCATAAAACAAGGCAAAATTCACTTAACACAATTTTTTTCCCCTCCCACCGTAACATAAATGCCGGGCTCCCCTTGTGGTCAGAAGTCGAGGACGACCTGTGATTAAAAAATAAATAAAAATGAATTAAAAAGGCGGGGAGGGTCTCAACTCCGGACCCAAGGACTTACTCCTGCCCTGCGCATCAGATCCGTGGGGATGACCGTTTCCATTTCTTCGGCGCCTTTGGCCAAGATCACCAGCGCTCGTTTGGAGCCCATCGGGAAGCAGCGGCGGTTCTGCGGGGAGGGGGTGCAAAGCAGGTGAAAAAATGGGCGGGGGGGGGTCTCTCCCCACCCGGCCCGAAGGATCCACCCACCTGCCGCTGCTCTGGCACCCCCACACCGGGCACAAACCTCTCCCACCGGCCAACTGGGGAAGACCGCGCAAGGCCGGCCAGGCTTCATTCCCGGGGGCGCCCGGATCGGTTGGGGAGACCCCAGCCCGGAAAAGGGGAGACGGACTGGGGAGGGACGGAGTGTGGGCACTCCCATCGCTGGAGGTTTTTTAAAAAAAGATAGATCTGCCTCTACAGGGAGTGGGGGGGTTGGACTAGATGACCTCTGAGGTCCCTCCCGCCTCTGTTATTCTGTATGGGAGTGTCTCCTGCTGGAGCAGGGGGTTGGGCTAGACGACCTCCAGGGTCCCTTTCCGCCTCTGTTATTCCTCCTATTCTGAGAGACCCCAGCCAGTAAAAGGGTCAGCAGAGTGGGGGGGAAAGGCGGAGGGAGGGACCCCTGCCCCGAAATGGGGAGGAGGAGCGGGGAGAGGCGGAGGGAGGGGCCGTTGGGGGACCCCTGCCCCCAAAAGGAGACGGACAGAGGAGGGAAGGAAGGAGGGAGGGACCCATTGGGGGGGGACCCCTGCCCCCAAAAGGGGAGGCGACGGGCCGAGGAGAGAAGGGAGGAGGGGGGGAACGTTTGGAGAGACCCCTGCCCCGGAAAGGCCCGAGGGGAGGGGGCTTCCTTACGCTCAATCTCGGTCACAGCTCCGCTCGCTCTCGCGCTG